CTCAATAGATTTCGTGGAAAACCAGCTATCTCACTTGCAAGTATTCGGAGTTTCCTTGGGGTTGGTCAAGCTTTGGGCCACCCTAGCCCATCGAGCTTAAGTCGCTAGTCCAATAGTTTCTGGGTATAGCAGCTAAGTTAGGCCAGTTGGTCTCCACCACGTCACCCTCGTCCTTCTGCTGCTCCTCGTAAAGTCTGTCTGTGCGATGCTCAGTTGCAAGTATTCGGAGTTCCGTTGGGGTTGGTCAAGCTTTGGGCCACCATAGCCCATCGAGTGCTCTACCTCTTGCAATGAAGATCACATGTTCTACCTCAATAGATTTTGCGGAAAACCAGCTATCTCTGAGTTTGATTGGCCATTCCAATCATCTGTAGTTTTCACTAGAGGTTAGACTATACCTTTATCTCACCATCGCCCTCCCGCTCCTCCCGCTCCTCCCCCTCCTCCCCCTCCTCCCCCTCCTCCACATCATCGCTCCTCTTGCCCCTCCTCCTGCACGTCATTGTTCTCCTCCTGCTCCTCCTACATGCCATCGTTCTCCTCCTCGTCCACTATGTCATTGTCGTCCTCCAGCTCCTCCACGTCATCGTCCTCCCCACATTCCTCCTCCTCCATGTCATCGTCCTCCTCCCCGTCCTCCTCCTCCTACACATCTCCACCTACCACTTCTTAAACCACCACTACCTTTCACAGGCAAACACAAACTCCATCTAGTAGCCTACTGCTGAAAACATGGGGGCTCGAGGCAGGGTTGGAGGCCAACGAACAAGGAATAAAAAAACAAAAAAAAAGGAAACAAAGAGTTTCGAATCCAGCAGCGACGAGGAAGGCGCTCACGAGGGTGGAAGTTACCCCACTGCTATGACGAATGTATCTGGCCACTATGACGAGAAAGGCGCTCACCTTCTTCTCCCCTMCCCCGCCGGGCCCGCCACCACCACGGAGCCTGTCCTCCCTCTGTCGTTCAAGTCCCTTTCTCCCCATGGCCACTGCTCATGCCCCAAATGGCAGAAAGCTGGGGGCACCACAGGGATTTTTTCAGTTCCTCAGTCCCCACCACCCTGAGGTCAGACAGTCCATGAGAGCCTTTTCCTCAGTCCTCTGGACGAGGGCCTAACCGTTTTCACCCGAAAAGAACGCCTGGTCATTATTCCTGTACTTGGAGCAATTTTCAGTCCACATGTAGCAATAATGACCGGGTGCTGTATTCATGTGAAGACGGAAGTTGTGCACACCTGCTGAGCGGAGGCACTGGTAATTGCAATACTTTCGCGACCCWGTAGGRGGTCGCCCACAGAAGCACCACAGGGCGTTGTAATACTCTCTAAACGGTGTAGGAGATGTTGCCCCACGGTCTTCAACATCACCCAAATTGACAAGACGTTCGGAGGCAAACACACATTTTCAGATGGCGGGTACGGGGAGGGACCAGCGCCGGGTAACAAGGCCAAGGGAGGGACGGAGAGCAGGAGCTCAAGGACTCACACTCACCAAA